AATCCAACTATGAAACCTATGTCAAATCGACTATTGCACACATATTCCATAGATCCATCTATTTGTTTAAACAAAGTTACATCGACTTTTTATTCCTCTTCATGCTTCTCCAACTTCAAATTTGGTTCGACAGATGAAGATGTTGGAGTAGAATCATCCATCCCGAATCACTTGAGTATCTCTTTGACATACTTCCTTTGATGCAACATCATTCCTTGCTTTGACATTTGAAATTATATGCCTAGGAAAGAAGACAATTTTCTCAGATATGACATTTCAAATTCCCTCGTCATGAACTCTTTGAACTTCGACAAGTTCTCTAAGCTATTTCCAATTATCAGCAAGTCATCAACATATAATAAGATCATTGTTATATTTTGTGACACAACTTAAATATAGACACCATACTCATATTTGCATTTAACGAATCCAATTCGACTAAGTATGAGTCGATCTTCTTATTTCATGCCCTAGGTTCCTATTTGAGGCCATAGAGCGCTTTGTGAAACTTATACACCTTACTCGCTTCCTTTTGAATCACAAACCCAAGATATTGTGTGACATATACCACTTAGTCTTAGGGTCCATTCAAAAATGATGGATTTACATCTAAATGAAATGTCGACCAGCCTTGCTTGCATGCCAAGGCTACCACTAGCCTAACAATCTCAAATCTTGCTACTAGAGAAAATACTTCAGAGTCGTCGAGTTCTTCTCTCTGTAGAAATCCTTGAGCTACCAATCTCACCTTATGTATTTCTATCGACCTATCAACATTGTGTTTCAACTTGAACACCCAATTTACTTCGATAGCTTTTGTGTGTGCTGGCAATTTGACTAACTCCCATGTGTTATTTCTTTCGATTACCTGTACCTCTTCGACCATAGCTGACTTCCATTGTTTATTCTTTAAAGCCTCACTATAGTTGATTGGTTCAACACCTGCAAGTAAAGCAAAATAAACTAATTCTCCATCTGGTATTACTTCATCATCACCAGTTACTTCATAGTCTTGAAGTCTTGTTGGACGAACTCTAGTTCTTTGAGGTCTTTGGCTTGTGCTAGCCACACCCTCTTCGACTTCGACTGTGTCGAAAATGTCAGCAACTACTTCAACTTTGACTGGAATATCAGAAATTTCTTCAACTTCAACTTCATCATTTTCTTCGTCGAATCCATAGCTCATCAATGGATTGCTAATTGCATCATCAGAATTCCAATCCCAGGTAGAATTCTCATCAATCAAAATGTCTTGACTTATCATAATTTTATCATTGATTGGATTTAATAGCCTGTATTCCCCAATTTTATGACATCCTACCAAAATTATAAGTTCATTCTTGTCATCAAGCTTCCTTCTTCTTGAATCAGGAACATGCTTGTAACATATAAAGCCAAACACCTTCAGATAACTCACTGATGGTCGTTTTCCACTCCACACTTCTATAGGAACTTTGTTTTTCAATTTCTTGGTAAGGAACCTGTTTAGGATATAAATAGTAGTAGAAATAACTTCACCCTATAAGAATTTTGGCAAATTCTTCTGCTTCAACATGCATCACGCCATATCGAATATGGTCTTGTTTCTTCTTTCTACAATTCAATTATGTTGAGGCGTATAAGTAGTAGTTACTTCATGATCAACACCATGTTCTGCATATAACTCTTAAAACATCTTGGATGTGTTTTCGCCACCTCCATTTGTTTGCAGAACTTTGATCTTTTTTTCACTCTGGTTTTCGACAAGTATCTTAAATATCTTAAAGATTTTGAATACTTTGTCGTTTCATTTGATCACATAGATCCAAAGTTTTTGATTGTACTCATCGACAAATGAGACGCAATACACGTTTTTGCCAATGGTATGTTCATCGAATGGGCCACATACATCTGAATGTACAACTTCGAGTATGCATGAGGATCTCATTGGCATAGTCGAAACGAAAGACTTTTTGGATTGCTTTCCGAATAGACAACCTTCATAGAGTTTGTCGGGAACCTCAAGACTTGGTATGCCAATGACCATATCTTGAGTAATCAACTGATTGAGTAATTGAAAGTTCAAGTGACCAAATATCAAATGCCATATCCAACTATTCTTGTGGTCGACATCTGTTTTCAAAAATTGTACCTCAGTCGAACTGATCAAGATCTTAAATGTCCCGTTCTTCGACAAAGGAGATTTCAAGACAAAGTTATTCTGAGTGTCGAATAGTTCCAAAGCTTCATCTTTCATAACCACTAAGAAACCTTTTTCGACCATTTGTCCAACACTTAGCAGATTGCACTTTATTCTAGATACATAGAGTATATCTTTGATCATAGCTTTCGCTCCATTACTCCTTTTAAAAACTATGTTTTAGTGCCTTCTCCTTGCAATGAGCTATTATCTAGAAGTTTTACCTTGCTCTTCTTCGACTCATCAAAATTAGTTAACCACATTTTTTGACCAGTCATGTGATTAGAGCAGCCTGGATCGAGGAACTAGATCTTGGATTCAACAAGGTTATCTATAACTACAACCATAACCACCATATCATTCGAATCATGTGAATCTTGATGTGCAAGGTTTTCTCCTTTGTCCTTGCCTTTTGTAAGTCCCTTTTATTTCATGTACCAACAATACTTGGTCAAGTGACCCCATTTTTCAGAGTTATAGCATTGCACACCTTTTTTTCTCTTCTTTGTCTTTCTGGTAGAAAGTTTCTTCTCCTTTTTTCGAGGACTCAGAAGTCTTGTCTCGACCTTATTCTTATGAGGATTCGACGAAGACTTCTTGCCCTGAGTCTTGTCAATTTTTCCATTGAATTTGTTGGAACCACCATTCTTTTTTCATGATCGATCCTGTAGTGCTTGTATCGAGTCTTGAACTCCTTTCCTTTGGACAATCATAATCTCACGCGCCTCCAATGAACCAACCAAACCTTTCAACTTTAGAGTTTCAAGATTATTTGATTCTTGAATAGCTGCGATAATATGATCAAAGTAAGAGGTCAATGTACACATTACCTTCTCAACTATCATCTTATTAGTTAGGGTTTCACCACAATCCTTCATAAATGGATGAGTTTTTTCACCTTCGACATATAGCCTGCAATTTTTTCGTCTTCTTCCATCAACAACAATTCATATTTTCGTCACAAGGTTTGCAACTTGAAAACCTTGACATTCTTATCTCCTTCATAGTACTTGACAAGAGTATCTCATGCCTCCGTCGAAGATTCAGCATGAGAGTTTCTATCAAAATTCGTCGCATCAACCATCGTTTAAATACAATACGCAACCTTGCAATCTTTGTTCTTCACATCCTTATGCACGACTTTTTGGGCATCAATTGCATTTCCGACAAGCTCAAGGACACTATTGTTAACCACTTCTAGGGTTTCATGAAAGTCAAACAAGGATTGCATTTGTTTTCTCCATCGGATCCAATTTTTGCCGTCAAGAATTGGAAGAGAATTCAGAATACCATTTGTACCATTCATCTCTACAGTTATTGCGATTCATGTTCCCTAAAAACACGATCTCTGATGTGTGATTCTTGAAAACACGATCAAGAATTTAACCAAGTTCTGATACCAAATTGTTAGTGCGTGAGAGACTTTTAGTAAAGGGAAAAAGAAAGAGAATAAAGAAATAAGAATTTTATTATTGAATTATATTGTACAAACATAATTGTAAACTATATTTATTTATGTACAATTAACTTATACATTAAGTAGAGTAGACTAACAAACCCTAATTAAATTTAAACTTAAATTACTCAACTTATCTCAACAAATATGAAATATACAATATATATTTATACTTATTCTATAATACTCCTTCCTTTGATCAATGTTATAAGTAAAAAACGATTTTAAATTTTGATCATAATAGCAAAAACAAAAAAATTTTAAATGATGAATTCTTATATAGTAATATACCCTTCATTTAACTTAAATTTTTTTAATATATTATTGCGAATTTTATTTAGATTGCACGTTAAACTATAAAATTAATTATATTTAACTAATTTTATTAAATTTTACTTATTATTGTAATAGTAGGAGTAATCAATTGATTGTCTGATTAAGTTACATAATCTTTTATATTTTTTAATATAATAGTTTAGTTTATTTATAATTTTGATTATTTTTTAGAGTTTAAAAGAAATACATTAATAATATAAAAAAATTTTAGACAATTATTTAATAGAAATATATAAATGTAATATAAATTTTTTTAAAATAACAGTCTAATTTGATTGATTCGATTCATGATCGTGATTAATTGACAATATAAAACTCATTTTCTTTATTTTTTAAATTAATTATATTATTTACATTATTAAATTATAATTTCTATATCTTTCTCTAATTTATTATCTCTATTGTTTAATCGGAATAACTAACTAAAAAACTGTTTAACAAAATATAATAGATGTAACTAATTGATTTTGACTGATTCTCCTATAGTTCTCTTGCTACATGGAATTAAATAAGTATTCTTTATAGGAAACACAGACAAATAATTAATTGCAACTAGAGAGAAGTTTGACCTTAAACACAGGCAAATACAAGAACCATTTTGATTCTAGAATTGAAAACGACCAAACACTGTTAAAGCATTCTAGTTATGACTATTTGACATTAAATTATTATTATTGTGGTAAACTAAGTTGAATTTGCGTGTCGTAAGTCAAAGTATCAACACAAAATAGAAAGTCAAAATAAATATAAAAAACTAATACTTAACTAGCAATAGTAAAATATTGTCCCTTTTATTAAACAATTAATTGACAATTCTGCGTACTCCAATTATTCACCTCGCAGCCCCTCACATTATCTCTCAGTTTTGACAAATTCTTACATTCTTAAAGTGCATTTCCTCCTAAATCCAGCGTCAACTTCACCTTAACACTCTCTATATAATCATATTCTCTTACCCATCCTTAACATAATCCAAAGTCAAATACATTTCAACAAGTTCATTGAATTTGAGTGTAACATAACATTAACATGGATAATACCAACTATCAAACCAGTATTCCTGTAACAAGGAGTTTATCGGATTGCGGTTCGTTAGCGACAAATGTAAGTGAAGAAGATAATATGGTAGTAAAGAAAGGTCCATGGATAGAAGAGGAGGATGCTGTTCTGATGAACTACGTGGCTGTCCATGGCGAAGGTCACTGGAACTCCGTCGCTCGCTGTTCAGGTTTAAAGAGGACAGGAAAAAGCTGCAGATTGAGATGGTTGAACTACTTGCGTCCGAATGTTCGACGTGGGAATATCACTCTCCATGAACAGCTCTTGATTCTTGATCTCCATTCTCGTTGGGGCAACCGGTACGTATAACATGATTTTGCAGTAGTATGAAATGATTGAGTTGTTAAAACTAACTAACATGACTTTGTGTTGTTTAATGAAGGTGGTCTAAAATAGCAGAACAATTGCCGGGAAGAACGGACAATGAGATAAAGAACTATTGGAGGACAAGAGTGGTGAAGCAAGCAAGGCAACTCAAATGTGATGTAAACAGCAAACTCTTTAGGGACACATTGCGTTTCGAATGGATTCCACGTCTCGTCGAGAGGATCCAGTCTACTCGTACAACTGCAGATACTAATTTATGTGATCAACGACAAGCAACCAATTGTAACAATGCTAAAGCGCACAGTGAAACTTGTGGGACAAAAGCAAATCTTCCTCCCATGTTGATGTCTGAGGTTTCATCGTACTCCTCAGGGGTTGATGTTTTTGCAGAATCAAACCTTTCTTACAATGTAATGGAAAGTACATGGCAGGAGTGGAATTGTTTGGACACAAATATTCAAGAATTTGAACCGGACAATGATTTTGGTGGTTCGGAATTGTGGACAGAAGAAAATATATGGTTCTTGCAGCAACAACTTGCAGATGATTTATGATCTTGTTTTTTTTTTACATTAGTTAAACATTAATTAACAATTGTTCTAATTTATTATATTTGAATTTAAGTGACATTGTTTGTAATTATCCTACTCTTACCAGTAATAAATTAAGAAAAAATTGATTTGCTTCTATGGATGAGGACTTGTTTTGTGTGTTGACAAGTTTTAAAAAACAATACTGTACAGCATAAAAAAATGTTATAAATAATAATGAATTCTCTAGAAGCTTGGATTTTTTGAAAAAGTGATGAATAGTTTGACATTAATAATAGTAATTTATTGGTTTAAATTCAATGTGTTTCTCATTAGTAAGCACTAAGTGCCGCTACCTTTGAAACCAGCACGTTTCATGTGTGTTCTAGTCTTGAGTCGTTCACACGTGATTGGACAGTCAACATGTTTATTTGGTCTCTTTGGTTATGTCGCATGTATGGTCGCATCACAGCTTACCTCATATCCCAGTGCAAACAAAATCACTATTTTTATTTATACTAGGCTTCACTTGACTTAAGGGGCATAAATGTGTCGCAAAAGGTAGAGGAAATGACAATGTGTTCACACTTACTAGAAAAGGATCAACTACCTTTTAAGCTGGAATGACATGATACTTTTATGAAAAATTAAGACAAGGATTAATATGTAATGGATATAAATTTTTTCAAACTTATAAGAATTTATTAAGATGAATAATAAATATATGGTAGTAAATCAAATAAATAAAAGAATGAATGAATATTGATATTTTAATATGATTTTTTTTTAATATGAGACTAAAAATCATGAGTCATTTAGACCAAAGAAAATAACTCTATTATAATTAAATAAGGGTATAAGAGAGTCTTAAAGTAATTCACAAATTAATGTTAATAACTGTAAAATCACAAAGCAAACTAACTTACAAATAAGAATAAAAAACTGAAAAATTACTCAAATCTACTGCTTTAGTGCGAAGTAACTATCTATCAGCTAAGACTTTATTTTGAAAATTTCAATGGATACAAGTGTTGTGAACCTGCCCTCTAAATTTGAGCTTGATCCAACGGTTAAGAATCCATAATCATTGATTAAGTGAGACTGATTGCAGAAAAATAAAAATATATTTCTCTCCTCTTTTCTCTCTTTTGAATCCTTAGTTTCTCTCTATCTCTCTCAACCCTAAATTAACTCTCTCCACTTAAATAAGTGAGACAAATGGACTATTTATATTTAGGTCTTTTTCCACAAAGGAATGAATCCCAAGCCCATCAAATATCCCCCTCACAACTATGTGGAGTAAATCACCAAACTGACGATATCACAAACAATTCAAACTTTCCTCTTGATAATGTTTTAGTCATCATATCAAAATCATTATCATATGTATGAACTTTAGCTAACATCAATAATTTAGCATCTAAAATATCCCATATCTAATGATATCTCACTCCAATGTGTTTGAACCTAATATGAAAAGTAGATTCTTACCAAGATGAATAACACTTTGACTATCAACAAATAACATATATTTGGCTTGAACAAAACCAAACTCCTACAAAAATTTCTTCAACCATAGTAACTCTTTGCATGCTTCAGTAATGACAATGAACTCAACCTCTGTAGTAGATAATGTTACACACTTTTTCAATCTGGACTGCCAAGCCATATTCCCCCTACAAATTTAATCTTGTAGCCCGAAGTAGTTTTTCTGGAAATCAATATCTCCAACCATATCAAAGTTTGAGTACTCCACTAGACTAGGTTTATCTCCTCCAAAGTAGAGCCTTATATAAGTAGTACGAGACAGATACTTTAAAATCCATTTTACAGCACCAACAACATGTGCCAACAAAATATGCTATATCTGGTCTTGTACACACCATTACATACATCAAACTACCCACATGAGATGCATAAGAAACATGTTTCATATCAAACGTCTCATCTTCATTTGAAGGACTTTGATTAGAAATCAATTTGAAATCAGTAGAAAGAGGAATGCTTATCGCCTTAGAGTTTTCCATTTTGAATCTTTGTAGTACTCTTTTGATATAATGTTCTTGTGACATCCAAAGTTTCTAGTCGTTTATGTCATGCATAATTCTAGTGCCAAGAATTTATTTAGCTGCTCCCAAGACTTTCATGGCAAATGACTCGCCCAACTGCTTCTTTAATCTGTCAATGTTAAAAATATTTTTCCCTACAATAAGCATATCATCAACATATAACAACAGGATAATGAAGTCACCGTTAGAAAATTTTCTAACAAAGGCGCAATGATCTGAAGTAGTCATATGATATCCTTGATCACATATAACAGTCTCAAAACCATATAAACTTTTTCTCAATCTACACACATGATCTTCTTTTCCTATAACTTGAAAACCATTGGGTTGTTTCATGTAAATCTCTTCCTCCAAATCACCATGAAAGAAAGTTGTTTTCCCATCCATTTTCTCAACCTCTAAATCAAGAGTAGTAGCTAAAACTCAACATGGTTCTGATTTATGACATATTTACAATAGGTGAGAAAATCTCATTAAAATCAGCATATTTTCTTTAACGGAAACCTTTCACCACTAATCTGGATTTATACCTTGGAGACTTAGTGTTACTATCATGTTTAACTCTATAAATCCACTTGTTTTCTAAAGCTCATTTTCCTTTAGGAAACTTCAATAATTATAAGTGTGATAATCATGAAATTATTTCATCTCGTCATGCATTGTATCCAACCACTTTTGATTTTCATCACTTTCCATGGCCTCTTGAAAACACTTAGGTTCATCCTCATCAGTCAAGGTCAAATACTCATAATAATTATACATTGTAAAAGCTTTTCTCTATCGGGCTTGAGATTTCACACACAAAAGGAAGGGGTGAATTGTGTGGTTTAGAAAAACTTGATTTTGAAAACTTTTTGCAAGTTAAAACAGAGTTTTAAAACATTTTAAAAGTTTAAGCAACAAAAAATAAATAAAATAAAGTAAATAGTCAAGGGAAGAATAAGAACACAGAGAATTATAGTGGTTCGGTCAAATCAAATGAGGCCTACTCCTTTCCCCAAGACTTAGTCTTGAGTGTTTCCAATAATACTTGAGAGCTTTTAGTATGAAAGGCTCATGAACCCCCTTATACAAAGAAATGATGGTTGGCCTTCGACCAAATATTAAAAGATGATAAATATCGGTGTTTGCATCTTTTTTCAATATAATGCTGAGAGTGAAGTGACCAATCTTCCTTCCTAATGATGGACTCAAGCAGTTAGTCTCCTTTCCACAAACATAGACCTTGGAACGTTAGTCTTCAAGTTCTAAAATATTTGAGCTCAATTCCTTTAGTTATTAATAGGCTAACCAAACAACCTCTGAGATTTTAACTAAGATAATCTCTTAACCAATGAGGATTTTAAAACCAGGCTTATCTTCAACCTATATTTGTTTTAACCAGGCTAACTAAGAACCAAGAAAGATTTTAATAAAGATTAATCTTCAACCTATGACTGATCACACAATCCCCAACCTATGCTTTATTTGGTTTAGCTTCGAGCCACAAATATTTCCTAATTGGACAATATTTAATAAAGGTGTATATAAAATGATTCCCTTAGTGAATTTTACAATTCTACCATTTCCAGAATTACACAAGTAACCTCACTCACAAAGAGACTTTCCTCACAAAAGTATTTGGATATAACATCTAGTGAGAGAAAGTTAAAATAAAATTTAGAGAGAGAGAGAGATGGTAATGTCAAAACACGATTCTGAATGGTTTGAAATGAGAAAAGGAGCTTCTATTTATAGGCAAGAGTTGTACCCAAAATATAATTTGAAATCAATAATTTTTCTCATTATTTAATCGATTATAATTTAAAAATAATCAGTTATGAGTTCTTTAAATGGAGGGAAAACATATATAGTCGTTGCACACCATTAAGATGTTGTCTAAATAGATTGGGGGTGTAAGTTTGAACTAATTTAATTGATTAGACAAAGGCATCAATCAATTAGATAAGACAAATTTTTCCCTCTCGCTATTTCCACAACTCTTAAGTTATCTAGCACAACTCCAAGACATTTTTAAAGATGTTTTCTCTTGATAAAAGCATTTTAAAAATGTTTTAGTGTGTGTGCGTGTATACTTATAACCTTATAATTTTACGGAAAAACCATTTACTTACATATGTTCAATCACTTAGGAGATAAGTGATGGGTGAAATCCACAAGTGCACAGACCTATCAAAGTAATATAAAAGACTGTCAAACCCAAGAAAGACCAATCGACAAACCTATCGTTACTAATTCTTACAGTGTTTATCTAAGGCAATTGAATTAAGAAAGAGAATGATAAAGTAAATAAATTTAATAAATTAAGATAAATAAAAATACTGAAATGTAATTCACATCAATGAACAATACTCTAATTGTCTCCACTAGGATTACTTACGGGGAAATATTTTCTACTTTGAAAATAATCAATTTAATGGGAACTCTTGCTTTCGCGTATTCAGAATCAAATTTACTCTCTAATTTATGCCATCCATTATCACTTATGGAAGGTGCTTATCACGTTCAAGTAGCAAATATGTTTTTTAAGAAATTAAACTCTCAAGTCAGTTGAAAAGTGATTTTGTTTGGAAAGTTTAACTTTAAAGGGTACTAGGCTTTCGCTTAGGTAACCAGATCCTAAAGCTATAAATGTGCGCTTTCATAAATAGTTTAAAATCACTTTCCAGAAATATTAGACTTCCTAATTAATTAACAAAGTGATTTCACGGTATTTTTTAATAAAAAACAAACCAATTTTAGTCTTTGGTTTTAGAAGGCTTTCGATCTTACCCGACATTTTCACTGCTTCACTTTCGTGTAAGTAGATTAAAATAAATTCAGAAAAGCCGCGTTTAAACCAAAACAGCCCACAAACATAATCCTAAAAAGAAAACATATATAATAACATTTATTTACGATCCTCACATCCCAACACTAATAAATTAGTCACACATGTTTATGTTTGTGGAAGAG